CACCCCCACCAAGTGCATCCCTTAGGTGACTCTAAATCCAGCCGAGCTGATTATGAAGAGTAGTAGCTGTTGCTCAGGTGAAATGCCACATTGTTCACTTGTGCCTCTTATACCTTTGCGAGCCAGAATGCTGAGAGCCACGAGGTGGGATGATGACCCATGACTCTTATCCTAGCACTTGGGGGGTGGAGGCTGGAGGCTTTGGAGTTCAAGCCTAAATTAGAGCTTGTTTTAAGTATCTTCCAGGAAATACAACGATAATGGACATTGGCAAACTCCTCCTTACAGAGAAGCGTCCCAAAACTAGCTTATCTGGTCCTCTGCCTGTTGGTGGCTATCGCTCAAGGCTTGAGTGGCTACCCCCTGCTTTTCCTGGTGTGAACTCAAAAGCTGCTTTATCACCGATCTAAGATTAACCTTACAGACAACCATGAAAATGCCACTAAAAACTACCTTTACTCTTTGTTGCCTTCCCACAAACTCCTCTAACCTGTCTTAGAAACAGCCTGACTCATTCTTTTGAACAAATCAGAAAAAGTCCAACATCACCACCACCACCACCAAACCCCAAAGGTGTCTTTCAGGAAGTTAGGAAAACCTTGGATGCTGTGGACACCCTTCCTCTTTGGTGCCTGCTTGGTAGGTAACTCCTATACTTAGCCTTGCTCATTTCTTCCAGAATCCAACGAATCCAACTCCAAATGCTTTCACAAGTTGACAATGTCCTCCTGATGTGTGAATTCAGATACCCTCCTCCATATAGTCAGGTGGTGGGTCGTCAGGAGATGGTCCTCCTCGGGGAGGACCATATATATATGGTTGAAAATGTTAGAGAACCCAAGTCTTCCAGGTTACCAGACAGAGACAGAGACAGCTACAAGAGGGCAAAGACACACCCAGGCTCCTCCCCTGCTACACAGGGATCAAGGGCAGCCTGACTACTGTCATATCATATGGCTCACACATTAACCAGGCCCTATTTCCTTACCCTGACAGAGTGACCCCTGTCATGTAACCCAGGCATGACCAATTCCCCTACCTTGGTCATATAACATAGCTCACATATAAACTAAGGCTGCTTCCTTTTGCTTCAAGATCTTTCCCTTCTGTCTGACAGAACCTTGGACAATTGAGGGGGGCTAGGATACCAGACTTACTGTCCTCAGTCAGAGTGACTCCACACGAGGCTTCAGTGTGACTAGGAAATTCCCAGGGTGTTCACCCAGCTGAAGCAGGAGGTGTCTGGGCAATGATTTCTGAGGTGGGGAAGTGGGGGTTCATTTCTCCAGGCCAGTGTCTGAGAATCGGTCTTAGGCTCTGGGCCTCCACTGTTCTCCCTTTCTCAGGTGACAGGCATAGTGTTCAGAGACGGTCCCTTCCTTGGCACACCATCAGTGTACCAAGGGGCCTCCAATCCATTGTACCTGAAGTAGCTGAGACACGCTGACTTGACATTCCTGCAGTTTTTCCCACAGTGTGGGTGAAGATATTTAGAGCAGACAAATAATGGACTGGCGACACCAAAAGACATCTTGTCTTAATGCTTTAAATCTCGTCTATTGGAAGTTCTATTTGAAATCACAGCCTGCATCAACGATACCTCAGTACATACAATACTTGACCAGGTCCCAGTGACCTGGGTCATTGCTTTTTAACTCTAATAGAGATACTTTAAGCAAATGCATAAACACAGAGAGAAGATCCTGAGGAATACCCCAGCACCCCCAAGTTAAGCTACAGCTATTAAATTGAAATCTCTTTCCTCATCCACAGCTCCATCCACACTTTTTGAAATGAATCCCACAGAGCGAGTTATCACACATTCTGGTGTTTTTGATCTTCTGTCATTGTTTTCTTACTTTTACAGTACCAGCTTCTTTAAAGAGAAAATGAGATCAAGGGAGGGGCGATTACAGAACGGAAAGATGCTTTAAGGAAAAGGAGCCCAAAGGAGTTTCATGCCGACCCCTCCCTATTTCTAGACAGTGAAATGAAGAACATCAGGGCTGGGAAGTCAGGGAAGAAGGGACTTGTCTGTTTTATGTTTTTCAGATCTGATTGAATTTTCAGCAGTCTGTGTGAAGGACAGCAGTCCCTCCCCCTTCCCCCCAGCTCCCCTTTGCTGCGGCTGATTTCCCTTTGGTTGGGGGCGAGGGAGCCCGGGAGAGGAAAACAGAATGGCTCTTGCCCCCTCTGCTGGCTGCCCGCTAGAACGACGGGAAAGGCCCACAGCAGGCGTGCAGCTAGAAAAATGTTTCTAGGCTTGCGTTTCCTTCAGGATTTCCCCCCCAGAGCAGACGGACAAACAAGGGGAACCCAGTGTGAGAAAGCGTCTCTTCAAAGTTTTATCCCCCGTCTTATCTACAGCAGGGCTCCAGGGACGGCCAGGCCTCCAGTGTGCCACAGCAAATGATGGCGAGCACAGCACGTCGGGAAGACCAGCCTCCTTCCCACAGGAGCAGCCTCTTAAGTGTGTGCTCCTGGCGTTCTGGATGACAGGCACCGGTGACCCCATCATCCGTTTAACTAAAAAGTCAATGACAGAGGATAGTTGTCTCACTGTGGATGCAACTGCAACGGGCCTTTGTCACTGGCTGTAGCAACACATACCAGGGACTGCTGGTGGCCGTGCCCTCTTCCATTGCCCAGCCTTTGTCCACTTCTCCTTTAGACATGCTTTCTCTACAGCACAGAGCAGGTCCCCATTGGGTTTCTTTATCAGAGAGACTGTCTCGGTTCTTGGTTGGTTTGCCAGACTTGAGAGTCAGGCAGGAGAGAGCCTAGGTCCCCATAGGCACTGTGGCCAACAGCCTCCCACTGGGATCTCAAAGATGCCAGAGTCCAATATGGACCCATGGTGTGGACATCCTACGAGCCTTGCCACACAGCTGCCTGGGATTTGAAGGCAAGAATTATCTCCCCGTTCAATGCTTGCCTTCTCTAGACTGGCTCAGGCAAGCACATGGGACATTTGCACAGGTTTCCCCTGGGGCCTTTTCTCTGCAGGGGATTCCACCAAGTTGGGCCATTTTCAGACACTGAATGGCACCGAGAAGTCACTTTGTGGGTTTGTGAACGAAGAGGATCTGGAACTTTGCAGTACCACACTCCTGTACCCTCAGTTAGAGGTGCCAGGTGACCGCTGATGACGGTCAAGGTGAAGCCTGCTTGGAGGCTGGCATGTGCCTAGGATTCAGCTTGACATCTGAAGACTGAGAAGAGTGGAGAGCCTGACACAGGCGTCTGACTCTCTTCCTGGACCACAGATGGATGCCTTTCTTCCTAGTTCTCAGCTGTCCATGACCCCTGACATCTGAGGGCAGTACCCACCCCCCTTAACCACTCCAAGATTCTCTCCTGGTCTCTGTCCCCACTCGCTTCCTTCAGGCGCCTTCGAGGCCCACAAGGAGTAGAGAGAGAAGAGGGATCTGAAGGCTCTGGCCTTTCACTCCCATTCCCTTCCCATCCAGTAGTCATCCAACCTCTGCTGGTATCCGAGCCCTCATGATGGCAGAGCTCGCCCAGGCTAAGGCAGGACCCATTTTCCTCCTGAGGCCTGGCTGCAGTTCCTCAGCTTTCTGTCCTTCCACACACTACCACTGTGGGGCGCCTGAGAGCATCACCCAGATTCCCTTACAAAAGGGTTTAGGCGAAGACTCTCTGGCCACTGAGCATGACCAGCTGGGCAAAGCGCTCAAGACAAGTCATTAACCCACGAGTGAGCTCCCCCTGTCCCGCCACACTGGGATGATCCTCACTGAAAATGAACAAGTTGTTCCCTTGCCAGGTGAGGAGGCTGCACAGAAGAAAAGATATTCCAGAAGAAACCAAAGAAACAAAAACTTACGGCATGGGAAACAAATTCAACCTAAAAAATACTCCAATAAAATAGAGGTCTGTTGGCTGTTTCATCTGTAAGCCTTTTATGTGTTCTCATGAGACAGATCAAATTGAATATTAAAGTTAGAAAGAGTTTTTAAAAATAAACTGGGAAAGAAAAAACACACCAGCCACGCTCCCTCTTGAAATCACTGCTTTCTTTCTTTATCTGGAGTTCTTTTAGTTTATTGACAAGCACGCTTAAGCAAGTATGTTTCTATTAATGATACTCTGCTATGCTTGCAGACAGGAGCCTAGCATAATTGTCCTCTGAGAGGCTCCATCCAGCAGCAGATCGAAACAGATGTTGAGACCATCACGGCCAAACATTAGGCGGAGCTTGGGGAGTATTGTAGAAGAGGGAGAAGAAGAATAGAAGGGACAAGAGCTCCATGAGAAGACCCACACAGTCAGCTAATGAGGCCCATGGGGCTCACAGAGACTGAAGCACCAACCAAAGAGCATGCATGGATTGACCTAGGCCCCCTACACATATGTAGCTGATGGGCAACTTGGTCTTCATGAGGGTCCCCTAGCAAGTGGAGTGGATGCTGTCTCTGACCTGGACTCTGTTGCCTACTTTTAAATCATTTCCCCTAGCTGGCTGCCTTGTCTGGCCTCAGTGGAAGAGGATGTGCTTAGTCCTGAAACAACTTAGTGTGTCAGGTGGGTTGGTACGGGTGTGTGTGGGGCTCCTTTTTTCTGACAGGAAGTGGAGGGGGAAGAGGGTAGGAAGGTGGGGCCGGGAGGAGAGAAGGGACAGGGCTGTGATCAAGCTGTAAAATGAATAAATAAACAAAATAGAAAAAGCAGGTGTGTTTATCAGTGGTGCGCACTGTCCGACACTGTGCAGTAACGCCCCTGGCATGAACATTCCGCAGTTTGTTAGACCATCACTGGCCTATTGATGAGCAGCTGGGCCATTTTCCAGTATCAAAAAACGTGGATCCATCTTTGCTGTGTTCTTGGGAGCTGACCAAACGCTCTGGTTTTGAATTTCACTTTGTAGTGTTTCCCAGTGTCTCTCTATTTATAACTTCATCAGGCACTGTTAAAAGTGCTTTGGGGAATAAAAACCTTTTTCCAGAAAATAAATATGAAGATAAAAGTAAACAAGAAAGTGAAACATAGCTGTAACTTTATTCAAAATATAAATTTTATGTGTTTCTAATTTCCTTCCATTTATTTCACTGTCCTTTCTTCTGACAGGCCTTGGTTCTTCATATCTGGAGAAGCCCAGCTGATGAAATCTTCAGGCTCCCTTTTTTAAGCATTTCCTTGTTCAGAGCCTACACAGAAGAATAGTTAGAAATATCAAGGGAAGTCGCAAACCTACTGAAAGAACTAATTTTAATATTCAACTATAAATCTTTAAATTTAATTGCCTTTCATAATGAAAATGTTCTCAGATTTTCTTCCAAGTTTAAAAAAGAGGACCAACGGTGCCATGGAAAATCATTCATTGTGAAGTACTGACCCTGTCAATCAACCTAAAGGAATGTCTTATATATGAGCTCTCTCATGCTGTGCTGGATGGCTAATTGCCGTGACACTGAATTTAACTCGTGCACATATAAAAGTGTCTTAGAAAAATGTGGGTAGCCAGTATGTATAGAACGTAAACACTAGATAATTTTATTTTTATGTTTCACAATTATATATATATTAATTTGAAAAATTTTATGTATTTTGGTCATATTCTTTCCCTTCCAGCTCCTCCCAGATATTTCTTATATTTCTCTGCATCCAACTTCCTGTTTTTTTCTCTCTCTTTCAAATAAATCTCTCAAATTTATAAAAATTTAGTTAAAAGCAAGTCGTTCCAGGTAATTATATTTCACTAGCATTTTTCTTTTTTTCTGTTTGTTTTTTAAATTAATTTAATTAATTTTTTATTAAGTACAATTTATACATTTTTTAATCCCAGCTGTATCGCCCTCCCTTATCCCTTCCCAATCCTACACTTCCTCCCTTTTCTCCTCTATGCCCCTCCCTCATAGGGGATAGGGGGTGGTCCTCCTCCCCTTCCATCTGACTGTAGCCTATCAGGTCTCATCAGGACTGGCTGCATTGTCTTCCTCTGTAGCCTAGTAAGGCTGTTCCCCCCTCGGGAGGGAGGAGGTTGATCAAAGAGCCAGCCACTGAGTTCAGACAGTCCCTGTTCTCCTCACTAGGGAGCCCACTTGGACACTGAGCTGCCATGGGCTACATCTGTGCAGGGGTTCACTAGCATTTTTTCTATTAAGAAATTCTACAATGTATCTGACACAGTCCAATTCATTAATGACACATCATATATATATATACATACATATATACAAATATATATACATATATACATATATATACATATACACATATGTATGTATGTATATATATAGATATAATACAAAATGTTATATTCAAAGAACTGCCTAGAATGGAGAACTAAAGCAGGTGCTCATTTTCTTTCTTTAAGCGGGCATCAGGTTCAACTATTTATACTGTACCATCACTGAAAGTGATATTGTATTCTTCAATGGCGTATTCATCTAGAACACAGAAATGATGGGACAGAAAGTGGTTAATTGTGGATGAACTCCAAAGTGAAGGCATTAATCACAGCTATAGAATTAGCGAAGATAAAGTCTAAACTGTGGTAGCTTGATTGGGGGTGGGGACTAAGAGAACTGGGCTCAGGAACAGACCCGAGGGGGCGGGCTTCAGGCTTGAAGCCTTGCTTATAGAGGTGCGGTGTGCACTCAGTGTAAGGAGGAGACCTCGTTAACACTACTAGCATGGTATCATGCTGGGAAGTTTTGAGTTCAAAGTCATGAACAAATGGAAGAATTTCCTACTATATGCAGTCTCCCCATTTGGGAGGGCATTACCTACAGCACATTAAAGAATAGATCAAATCGTAGGTTTTATGTCACTCATCAGTAGCAAGATATGATTTAAAAATATATATATTGCTATTCTACCTTTCTAGAATAATCCCGCCCAGAGCAAGCAATTTTAAAGGGAAATTTAGAACTCATGACCAAGTTTTTCATGATGTCTTCATCAGAATGGCTCTAAGGCTTGTTTAAAGGTTCACACAAGAGGTTGATTAAAAAGAAAAAAAATGGTTAATTATAAGTGACCATAACTTTACTCTTTCTTTCAGTGAAAGACTGTGGTGTTTTGTTTTGTTTTGTTTTATTTAAGGTAACCTTTTATTAGACCAGTTACTGTTTCCCATCAAAGCTCAACATCTCCAGATTCCACTCACCTGTCTCATAATAATCGTAGACTTTTATTGGGGCTGGTTTTAAGTTCTTTACTGGGATGTCTTGTTCCACCAAGAAGGAGGAACTCAGGGTCTGATTGGTTAGCTGGAGAGATGAGAGAACAAAATTGGACTCAATGGTTAGCGTAGTCATTAGTCACCATCTTGCTTTCTTAAGACATATCAAGCTGCTGGAGTGTACATGCTTTGATCTGTATTGTAGCATAACCAACAAAAGACGGAGGGACAAAAATTCTGTGAATGGTCAGATGTCACAAACTTAGCATTGCTGATTAGCCCTGGTTCTATTTCCCTTTGTAGCTATTTTGTCCTTATGTGTGTGTTGTTGTTGTTTGAGACAGGGCGTCTCTGTGTAGTCCTTTCAGTCCTGAGACTTGCTTTACAAAGCAAGGCTGGCCGTAAAGTCACACAGATATGCCTGTCTCTGCCTCCCCAAGTGCTGGGATTACAAATGTGTGCCACCATGCCCAGCTCTTGATGGTCTTGTTAGACCCCACAGCAATTCTTACAGACCCCAAAGTATTACCTTTTCAATGTAGATTAGAACATGGTTGGTGCTCACTTCAGTCCTCTGAATGTTAGGGTGGTCTTGGAGCTGTTGATAAGCCAGAATTATGGAGTGAGGAAGGTTTATGGTAGGAGCAGTTTTCAGGTATTTTTCATTATAAAAGGCTTCTCTGGAGAATCCAAACTACTGAGTTTTATTTCTTTAGAAATACTAGTCATAATAATATATACTTATTGACTCTTTTTTATTCATATATATGTGTACAGATAGATACATGTATGTGATATATACGTGTGCTGGGCATGTCTAAATCCATATGTGTATATACATACATGCACACACACATGTATATGAATGTGTGTATGTGCATTGTTTGAAAGTGTGTCGACAAACCTGAGAGCTAATGGCTTGCCAGAACATTGGATATGGGGCTATCACTTAGGCCTCATTCGTAACACAGTATAACCAGCATAACCAGTAATAAATGGAATCACACTTGGGAGAGGCAGGCTTGCAGGAGTAAGCCTCTTGAAAACTATGTCAGTAAAATAAAATCGACAAACAGTATGGCATTGCCGCCACCAAGAGTGTAGTGTTAGCCCTCTCCACCAATGGTTTATTTTAGTGTTAGCTCTTTCCACCGATGGCCTAGCGTTAGCCCTTTCCACCGATGGCCTAAGCTGGATGGCATAGGCTTTACCTTTTTCACAGATGACTTCACAGGTATGAAGCCGGATACCATCTTCGCATCAACAATGACCATGTTGGAGCTGGGTCGTTCTCCAGTGTAACTGTGTAAATAACACACAGAGATAAGTCCTTCCAATAGCATTCCTCAGGACTGACTGAAGCCACAAGTCTGACCTTTGCTACTCAGTTTCTCTGTTTACGGGATCTGTGTAGCCGTTTGGAAATCTCACCATTTTCCTCTCCTCTCTTTAGAGAGAATATATATGTATGTATGTGTACATAAATGTATGTATACATGTGTGTGTGAATCTGAGGATTCTGAGATGCATCCTCAATGCAAAGACCTTTCGGTAAGAGTTTAGAAAATGTCCTAGTTAACAAATTAAATACCCCAGTTTAGTTAAGTGGATCTTTGCTCAATGCATTCCTTCCACAGAGGTTACCTACCCCCCCCCTTTTTTTTTTTTTTTACATATTCTATAAGTGGACTGGTTGCAGTTTAGGATTTACTGAAAGGCCCAAAGATTTAAGGAGGCCTAACAGACTCCATGACAGGCCTCAGATTCTCCTCAGAACAGATAGGCCTGAGTTTCTGTTTCCGGGAAACACTCAGGCAGTTCCTGGAAAAGCCACAAACTGCCCCAGGCAGAAACTGCCCCTGGAGAGAGCTAATCAGAGGGTAACAAGAAAGTATCTGACATTCTTGCGGTCTATAGATAGCTTGCTCAATGTTAGTTAGCCAATCACTTTTAAACAAGCCTGCTCTTGCTAAATGTCACCCAATCATGTAAGTACTAAGCTGGAAATTCCCGTTCCTTGCTTATATCTCAATAAAATCCCTGCTTAACTGCTGTTTGGGGCTCTTGGTGTGGATTCGGAGCTCTCGGGATGGATCCTCTGCACTGGTAAAGTCTGAGCTTAAGCCTGAATAAAGGGTCTTTGCTTTTGTATACGTGAATCAGACTCCAGGTGGTCTTTGCGGACTTTGCTATCTAGGCATAACATTTACCTTACATTGAAATTAATCTGGAATGTTTTAGGATCTTTAGCTCCATCAAGGTTTAGGGGGAGACTTTCAACCTGCAGAGCGAAGGGCGCTTTTCCTTCTGCCTTTTGGAAGACGTTGTATTTTAGAGATGTCTGAAAACAACAAAAGCAAAATTCTTTAGCTCAGTGCTGAAACGCTTTGCAGCCCCTTTTAAGTAGCTAAACCCTTGACGCTTTCCCACACTCCCATTCTCTGGGCCCTAGAGGCCTTACCTGGAAATACACACATCCATCCCCTGACACATGGATGTTGTAAATCCCAGGAAGATCTGGCAGCGTGACTTGCTGCAGCAGCAGGCGATTAGCATCGTGAACATGGAATTTGTGAGAGAAGATCCCTGAAGACTTGATGGTGACCGACACGTCTTTCTTGCTTTTCGTAAAAGTGGCTGCTCCATATTTGGAGAGGGCTTGGAGAGCCACCACTGTGTCCTGAGGAAAAGAAAGATACAGAAATCACAGTGAAAGCAGCAAGAGCAATGGCACACTGAACATTCAACGTCAGCATTACTTCCTTTCAGGATTATTTAGTGACAAACACAGCCCATTAGTTTAATTTCAATACAATTCAATCCTGTTCACTAATGGGGACCAGCTCTAGGTACATTCGGGGGAACAAGTTTTATCATTTACACAGATTACAACCTATACGGAAATATAAGCTTAAGAGATAACATGGGTAATTTGTAAATCTCTGCAGGGATATTTGTTGTAGAAATTAAAAACTTTGAAGAAAATATTAAGGCTAAGAGAAAAAGAAGACTAAGGATGAGAAATAACATCATTCTTTTTTTTTTATTAATTATAGTTTACTCACTTTGTATTCCCCCTGTACCTCCCTCCCCATAATTCTTTAATAACAAAATGCATTTATGGAGAAGGAAAGGAGCTTTATGGAGGAACTGGGATGTTTTAAATGGTCCCAGAAATGGCAGCAAGTCCATGCCAGAGACAGCATAAGGACTTGCTGAACTAGCTGGGTGCATACACATTGGCTGCAGACAGGAACTAGGCGGAATAGTAGAGAATCTTAGTCTGCAGATGAAAATAAAGTTTTTTCTCATGGAAGTAGTTCTACCAAAACAGCACTTTGGGAAACTGGCCCACAGCTATGTTGAGGACCCGCGTGGGGAGAAGGTGGTGAGAGTGTAAGGAAGGCAGAGCCGTGGCCCGTTTGTGAGTTAGGCTGGGACTCCGTGACGGAGGAATGGAGAACGTGTGAGTTAGAAATGCTGATGGTTCAGCCAATGCCTAGAATGTGTTGGTGTTTATATACGGGTTAGTCGATTTATCTTTCTCTCGTAGGGACTTTCCACAGACCTGAGTGGAGGAGAAACCCCCGTGGGAGTTTTGTTGCTTGATGATCCATTTCACGATTTTGGTTGCTGAGGACAGGTCCTCCGCAGACACGGAAGGCAGAGCCGTAAGGTGGGCAAGAAGAACATAAGCTGTCATCTCCACTTCGGCAGACGGGGCCCGTGGCTGATAATAGGGTGTCCTCACTTCCTGAACGGTCCCAGGGCGCCGCCAGTGGATTGAATCCTCTTTCAAATGGAGAAAGTAAAAATTTAAGCTTAAAGCATGCTTTTAAAATCTAGCCCATGAGTGATGAGAAATGAAATGAACAGACAGTTTAAAACAGTCACCAGCAGTCTTTTTAAATTTTTTTATTTAGAGATAGGTTCTCACTATCTTGACCAGACTGGCCTTGAACTCTTGAATGCAGAGATCCACCCGTCTCTGCTTGCTTTCTTTTCTTTTCTTTTTACATTCTATTTTTTAAAGATTTATTTATTTATTATTTATACAGTACTCTGCCTGCATGTGTGCCTACACACCAGAAGAGGGCACTAAGATCTCATTATAGATGGTTATGAACCATCATGGGGTTACTGGGAATTGAATTCAGGATCTTAGGAAGAACAGCCAGGGCTCTTAACCTCTAAGTGCTGGGATAAAAGGCATGAGCTTCCATGCCTGGCAAGAGCAGATCTGTCCTGTGAAAGTCCGTTAAGCTCCCAGATGGCCACACAGGGCATCTTTGTGTCTCTCACGTACTTCTGCGGCACCAGCAGTTGGATTATAGAAAATCAGTAATGTGTGTATCAATAAAACGGTTCATTATCACTTAAGTGTTGTATCAGTGATGGTTTCCCTTGTGTTCCTGGTTAAGGTAGCAAAGGGGGAGGGCTCGGCAGATGGACTCTGCCTGTGCGTCATCAGTGCCTTCTAGTTAAGTGTACTTTGCTATAGACATTCCTACCTTCTTTTACAGCTTCTTTGTCTAGCGATTCAAGCAGCTCGCTTCGCTTGGCTTGGTTTCCTGCCAGGGCGAAGGCATAGGCCAACAATGCCTTGGTGTAGACGTGACTTTCTTGGCTCCTGGAGATGGTGGCCCAGGCTGTTTCCAGACAAAACAGAGCGTTGCGGACAACACTGTGCTGTAAAAGAAGATGGAAGCCAGTTTCATAATAAGAGAACCAGGCAAGGAATCGCCCCCACGCCAGACTGGGATCCACATTGGTAACCCGGCATTAGCGTTCACACCAGGGAGGAGTTTCCTCTATGTCTTTAAAAAGAACCTACTTATTTGTGCCACAGTGAGATATACCAAAATCAAAGACCACTAAAACTGGAGTTTTCCTGAGGGGAAAGGAGGTACGGGGATGGGTGTATACATACAGTGGCAGGCAGTGGGATCTCCAGCAGAGAGATGGTAATGTAGGCGGAGAGTGACACTTCGTCATCCACACCACCCTAGAAGGAACAGAGGGAGAGCTCTCACACACTTCAGTATTTTCTGGTCAGAGTCCAGGTCTGTTTTAGAAACATTAGGTTCTGTCAGTAGGACTGGAAAACTCTTTTTTTTTTTTACCCCCCCCTCTCTTTATAGATTTTTAAATTGTGTGTACATGTGTGTATTCACGTGTGGGTTTGTGCATGAGTGCAGTACCCGTAGAGGCCAGAAGAGGGGGGCATTGGGTTATCTGGATGCTGGGAACCAAACAGGTACTCCGCAGTAGCACTGACCTCTGTATACTACTGAGGCATCTCTGCAGCCCCGAGGACTGGAGAACTCTTACAGAAGCCTTCCTTCCTACATAGTACAACCCCCAGGGACAAGAGGAGAATCAGGCCATCACCTTCATCGCATTGTTGAGCAGATATCCAGATTGTTGGAAACAGCCATTGTCCTTTTGTTTCATGGCGAGCCAGTTGAAAGCATTCGTGATGTGTGTCTTCTCTATGAAGATGTGGGACTGAGCTTGAGAAAAGGCTTTGAGCACGAATGCAGTGAGCCTGTCCAGCAGAAAAGAGTCAGAGGCAGTGGGGCCACCCCGCTTTAAAGCTCACTCCACGCTGCCCGAAGACATTGACCTTCACACCGTTACAGCACCCTCCCATCGAGTCTGTACTTCCCAAATGACGTCTGATTGTACCAATCTTGATCTCTCTCCCTGATCTCTACTTTTCTCCTCTAAGGGGCAGCAAGAAAGCTTTCCCCATCATCGTGATGTGCTTCCTGCCTTACACCTCTATTTCTTTCTTTCACTGTTATCAGCCGTGCCGGTGGAGCAGGTGGGTTTTCAGACATCAGTGGGGATGACAACTGGAGTTTCAAGAAGGAGTAAACCTTCCAGAAAAGAATCCCAGGTGAAAGAGAACAGCAGTTTCTAGACTCCTGAAACACCTCGGATCAGTGGAGCAGGAAGACACAATTTCATCTTACCAAGTATTTCCCTGGCTGTTCCCGCCACGATCCCCAAATGTGCTGTATGAGCCGTCACTGTGCTGATAGTTCAGCTGCCTCTGATATCCTGAGGAAGGAATTTTAGTCATTTGTGAAGCATAGCGATGTTTGAAAATTATTATTTGTTTATCTTAACTCTATTCAAGAACCATTGAGTAAACATGTTTTATTCACACACTTCTACAGGGATTGACACAATCGAGAGTCCTCATGATAGAGAGGGGCATTTGACTGGACGTCACAGCAACAGTGATTACCAAATCTTAACCCAACAGAAGGCATCTAGGAGTTCAGGTAAAGTTGCTCACCACTGACGAGGTAGCTAAGGGCTTTGGACTTGATCGTCTCTGTCAGCTGTTGTGTCTCATTCAGATAGTTCAGAACATAGATGTTTGGGACGAAAAGGACCATGTTTTGTTCTCCGCAGCCATAGGGCATCTGGAGAAGATTCTGGAGGTTTTGCATTGCAGAGCCTAGTATGTCACCTGAGGAGTGAAAGGTTATTGCAAATTAGAGAAATATAGAGATGGTTTGTACTGTAGTAAGAAAATATAACCAAGAGGCCATGTTATTAATGGTAAGAAAGACTATATATATATATATATATATATATATATATATATATATATTATATATATATATATATATATAAAATTTGTGATATATATATAACAAATGAGAAAAACAGATGGCTCCAGGACACTTAGAAAGCAGGGAAGAAACTGAATGGCAAGAGACAACATCTTTTCTCAATCTTTTCTCATGGACCATAATGTCCTGGAAAATGGAACTATCATTTTCGTATCCTCTAGGATACCCTGTCACCTCGCGGACCACTAGGAGATGGGAACACAGCCCTTGTTAGCTGTCAGGGCTAGCCCAAGCATCCTGCTGCTACAGCCTCTGTTCAGCCCGCTTTCTCACTCAGGCACAGGGTAGCCCCGAGCTTGCTGCTCCTTTCCTCAGTCCTATATCTGGTGCTCAGTGATGTCATTAGTCAGGCATGGCGTTACAGAGAGGGACAGCTGTTCTGGCTTGGGCCGAGAGACTTACCCAAAACAGAATGTGTGGCTCTGGCGGATCCTTCAACCACATTGTATGGAAGGTTCAGTGACCATAGGACATGTGCTACATCGTTTAATGAAAGAAAACAAGACATTGGAAAATTACTGTGTGAGGGGAGGGGGATGGTCTACTCTTGTCACAAATATTTTCCCTCATCATCTATATGCAACCTTTTCGTATCTCCTGGACCTTAAGCGGCTTCTTGATGCAATTCAACTTCTCCCAAAGCCACCATTTGTCTCAAGGCAAAATACATACCAATTACATATTTGTACTACATCTCTATAGCTTTCCTTATAAACATATGTGTTCTGGAAGACTTCCTCTTTCTTCTCATGGATTATATTGTGTGTTCCCTGGGGTTCTCCTGCCCTTGTTCCTCGCTCCCCTAGTGCTGATTGGAGCTGTCTTGCTCAGCTTTTATATGAGGGCTAGCACCCAAATTCAGGTCCTCACGCTCCCACGCCAAGCACTTCACCTGCGGAGCATCTTCCCAGCGACAGTTCCCATCATTGTTAAGTTTTTTTTACACAGGCATTCATCCCACGAACATCCTTAAGTGTGTGGTATGTGCTAAGTTCTGCCCTAAGTGCCGTGGAATGGGCCATCCATTTTCAAAACTTGTTAAGAGCGTTCGCTTTTACAGGAAGGGTTGTGTAAACAAGCGAAGGTGTATTTACTGAGACTGAGATTGGTGGGTCCTGGAGAAAATTTAAAAAGAGGCTGTTTGTGGGCAATCGGGAAGATGAAGGCTGAGGAAGGGTGACTCACTACCTATCGACCAAGTCGTCTGTGTTCAGAGGCCACCAGTAAGTCATGGAGTAAGGTTTGGAGATAACGTCGCAAGGATACTCCCAGCAGAAATGAACCGGAAGTCAAAAGACTTCAGAGACCCCAGCACGGTAAGGCCGTGTTGCAAGTGGAAGGAGAAAGCTGGTGTGGTTGGCACAAAGCAAGTGAGAGACGGAGCAGCATGCCATGATGTTCAGGGGTGGGAAGGGCTCGAGGGTGATTGATGTTAAGGGGTCTAGCCCCGTGGATGTAGGACAGCTGTGAAAGGAGCTAGCTCCGGAAGGACATGTTCTGACTGAGACAGCATGTTCTTGAAGGGGGCCCTCTTCCTGTGTGTAGGGACAAGAGGGGATGGTCAGGAGGGAAGTTAGAAAATTAATGACTTCACTGGTTTTTTTTTTTTTTTTTGAGATGTGGTCTCACTGTCCAGCCTTGTGGTGTTTCCGGCATCTACTTCCTGATGGCTGGTGCATGTGCCACCAGGTGAAGCTCAGTTAGGAAGTCACTGAGGTGGGCCAGCCAGAGAAAGGACAGCAGGAGAAGCAGCTATGGTGAGAACTGGGTAAACACTGATATATATAATTGAAAGTGGAGTCAACTAGATTTGCTAATGGATGGGGGTGGAGTACAGGAGAAACACCTCGATAAAGGCAGACTGGAATTTTTAGACTTGACTTGTACGAGTATGAGGTGAAGAAAGCTGGGAGGAGCAGGTGTGTGGGACCAGCAGGGCTTCCCTTTGTCAGCAGGGTAGTTCTGAGGTACCCGTCAGACCTGCAAGCCTGCTGCAGCTGATGGCTAAAGACAGGATTCTGAGTCCAGAGAGGAGTTATGCTCCACTCATGGATGTAAGTGTGCGGACTGTAGCACTTAGTTGCTATTAAAGCATGTGCCTGGGTGTGGGGAGGTAGCTTAGTCAGGAGAGCTGTTGCCTTGAGAGCCTGAGGACCGAGATGGATTCCCAGAACCTATGGGGGTAGAAAAAGCCAGACATTGCAGTGTGTATTTGTAATTTCAGTTCTGGGAAGGCAGAGACAGACAGAGAGATCCCTCAGGTTTGCTGGCCCACAAGCCTACCTTACTTACTAGGTTAGTGAGAGACCTCGCCTCACAAAAATAAGGTGGTTAGCACCTGAGGTACAATGTCTAAGGTTGACCTTTGTCTCCCATATGTACAAGCACATATATACATCCTTCATAGGAACACACACACTCACACACACACACACACACACACAATGTATGTAGATGAGACTACCAAAGAAAGATATTTACACCAATGGTCTGTGAGTTATGATGGTTCCAGTCACTATGGTGTGAAAGCGATGGACACCATAAGCAGCGTAAGTTCTGAACAGCACCATTTTCCTGGACCAGTGATGCCGACCAGTGGCCGTCATCCTCTGCTGTGAGCCAGGATGGAATTATAAGGGCAGGCAATTGTGCTGCTAATCTATCGTGTCCCATAGGCTAGGTATATTACATGTATTTTTGACTCATACTATTTTCAATGATGGATTTGATAGGATGCCCTTTGGAAGTTGAAGGGTGTCTCTATAGGTGTCAGACTTGTAGGCAAAGCCTCACCTTGGGGAACATTCTAGATGGTGCACGACTTTTTAGACGGAGATCTTTGTATAATCATGCTAACGGTATCAGTCAAAGACTGTTTTGGGGTCCCTGTTGGTGCATTAGAGATACTGTCCATCGAAGCACAAGTATGGATATATTTAACTTACTAATGTAATATCACTACAGACCAATGCCACACAGATCCTTCAATATCTTCAACATAGTTTGAGGAGGAGTTTTACAGACACAGATGCATAAAAAGGAATCTTGTCTCAGGGAAAGGGTTTCAAAACTCATCCCTAGCCAGGAGCTTTCCAGCAACTTTTTTCATGGTGCCTCCTTTTTTTAATCCTTAAGTATGACCATAATGGCAATAATAATGATAATATCCTCAATAGTATTTATTCTTTATTACCTTGGGGAGACTGAGCCTACTTTGAGAGATTTCCATCAAGAAAGGTCTTCATGAACTATCTTTTAGGTTTCCGTGGAAAAAGCATACAAGTTTTTCTTTTTTCAGAGTAATCCACATCCAAGAGATGATTTTTCCACAGCTGTAAATTTTACTAAGTGGCTTAACTTGAGACCTTTGTTTGTTTTGTTACACATACCTTCTGCACATAACAGGCTGTTGAACGATTGTTCCTTCTCTATTCCTTCAGGCTTAGCATCGAAAGAAAAAGAAAAAGAAAAAGAAAAACAAAAACACAGGGTAAAATGATACATAACATACAAGAAAAAAAAATCCCAAACCAATCACTTTGAAGTGTTAGCAGAAAACTGATCTGCAGACCCACACATAATCTTAGACATGAGATACAGTAGCTCAGATTACAAACACAGTGTCATTCGACAGACTCACAGCACTCACGCACCTCGACTATCACGTGCTTGATGACAGTGTCCTTGCGCCCAAGGGCTGGCACCTCTGTCACCTCATTGCCACACAGTTCTGGAGACTGCAAAGCTTCTGCAGTAGCTGTGAAGTTCACCTTCTCTGGGAGAGAAAGTTTTTGATGGCTTTAAATGGGAACACCCTGGCCGGTGAGACAACTCGGCTGTGGAAGACGCCTGCTGCCGAGCTCTGGCACCCCAGGTCTGATCCCTGAGGTGCACAAGGTGGAGAAGACAACCAGCTCCCCACAGACCGTCATCTGACCTCCATATGCATACTGTGGCCCTCACACAGAGCAAACAAATGTGTTTGCAAAATCAGAAAACACAGTTATACTGTGTTAAAAGCTCCCCACCCCCTCCCCCAGAACCTCCCCCCCCAACCACGTACACAATGATTTTCTGCTTGGCTGATCAGTTTTAAATTCCAGAGGAGGAAAAAAGATCAGAGCCAGAACAAGCCATTGCAACACAAAGGCGTAAAAATCAGTCAACAGCTTTGCCACTCACCCAGCGATTTCGGGGTCACAGCCCAGGACACGGTTTTCCTTTTATTTCCACAGATGCAGTGAGAGTCTTCATGGTCCCCCACTGGGACTGCCAGGAAATCGGGAGAAATCTCTAGGCCCACACGGATCTGTTCCCAAACCCAGACAGGCAGAGAGAGTCAGGAGGAGGGACGGGAAGCTGAGTGTGTAGACAAGTCCAGGGGTTTTGGGATTCGTCAGAATGGGCACATCCTAGCACACACTTTGAAGTTTAGATGTTTGCAATACGCGAGTTGAATGTTATAGGAAAGGCATGGGATTTGCCTGTGTCAATGGAGGAAGAGACGTTTCTTTAGCCAGACTTTAAGTATGAAGTAGTTTAGCTGGGCATAGTGGCGGGCTCCTGTAATTCCAGCACACTGCTGGTTGAGCAGGAAGGTGGGAGTTTTTAGGTCAGCATGGGCTGTGTGCACAGTGGGACTCTGTCTCATAAAAACAAAAAACAAAACAAAACAAAAATTCAAAAAGGAAGGAGTAATCACGTGGAAGCCATGTTCTAATTTAGGAACATTTACAAAGCCCTGAATGAAAACAGTCTGTAGTCAGAGAGCTTTTCTCGTGAGTACTAGCTCCCTTCCAAAATCAGGGCACACCACACACAGCTCTAGGCCTGAGGAGCTTAGGTAAGGAGGAGTGTTGGGGTTCCCATTGACTTGCAGAGCGGGGCCCTTACCCGAATGCAGTGAGGCATGTAGTTGAGCACTGTGGCTTTGAGGGTAAAGGCTTCTCCCCGCACCACAGAGTAGGGGAGGGTGAGCTCCAGGAAGAATGGCTGGAAGACTTGGAGAGAGACGGTGGGGGAGAGACCAAGGCCAGTAGTTCCAGACAAGCAGAATGCACTAGCCTTCCACTCAGTGATGGAGTCGGGAACCTTCGTTGCCAACTCATGGCTACCTGATTCGCTGGGGTGGAGGGAAAAGGACAGGAGAAAACAAAGCAAAACCAAACCAAATCAGAACATGCTAACTCAGTGATCACGCACAGTAAACACGGAGCTAAACTAGGGGGTCAATTGCTTCTGTTCCTGGTGGGGGTTCCCTGGAAGTCCTCTCCTCCCTCTTCTTCCCTCCTTATTTTCTTCTCCCTTCCCTCTCTCCTTTCCTTTGTTCCTCACCACCCCCGTCCTCCAGGGAGAAGACAGTTTCCTATTTTCTGTTAACCGAGAACCACATAATTGGGGAGCAGAACTGTTCTGCTGTGAGATTGTAGAACTAAAAGGATCAGGAACCAAAGACGACACCAAAGTCCCAGAGCAGGACTCATACCCTCACCTACGCTAAATCCCAGGGAACACTCAACTCACTCCAGAGCCACCATGTCCCAGATCCACGTTTCCGGGAAGTACTTTCGAATTGTCTCTTTTCTTATTTCGACCACATTCTGTTCTTCTGAAGCCATCGGGTAGCTCAATCTTCTGAAGCCCACTCCTGGGGCTGCTGCCAGAGGTAATGCTTGAGGCGCTGTTGTGAGAAAGAAAGAGAAGCCTTACAGTGAGCCCTGTTCTGATTTTGGATAGTTGTCTGTTTCTTATGTTAAAGAGGGTCATGGGCCCAGTAGTCACTTTTCTATATTTTTATATGTCTAATAGCTTACATATTTTACACATTTGCTCTATTGCTTCATTGAGTAGAGGTGGCTATATTTTCCTTTGTAAATAAAGCAGATGCAGCTTTCTTTAAGGTGGCTGTTCTCCTGAAATGATAGCCATGGCCCCTACTGGCGTGACCATCAAAGAACAAGAAAGGAAATCAGCGGCAGCCAGGTTTCAGAACTCTGACTCAAGGGGCAACGAACAAGACAGAGACAAGGCAGTAAGCAGCAGGATCCTGGACTGTGTGTTACGCACCCTAGCACCCTAGCTTTGGAATAGGATCACTGCTCCGCACGCGGCTGTGCGACCGAGTGCTGAGGTTGGGCAAACACTGGCAACAATAAAAGGTCCCTGCACATGCTACAGCCAAAAACTAATCCACAGTCAAAGGTGCAATGAATCTTAGATGTTCTCTCAGTTTGCACCATCGATTCCGCGGTAACCTTGGATCTAAGCACACAGCATGTGTACTTTGTACTGTTTTCACTGCTTGAAATCCCCCGGGTCAGATTCCAGGCTGTGGTGTGCTACGAACTGCAGAACTTTTCTTCTCCATGGAAAGGTTTCTGCCTTAATAGAAGCATAATGATTTGATTGCAACCATAGAGAGTTTTAATATTTTCTTTCTAGTGCATAGGTATCAAACTAGTCTGTCTTTGAGTGGTATGAGTTAGAATGTCTGAGTTTTAAAAACCGCTGTTGGGGGTTGGGGATTTAGCTCAGTGGTAGAGCGCTTGCCTAGCAAGTGCAAGGCCCTGGGTTCGGTCCTCAGCTCTGGGAAAAACAAAACAAAACAAAAAACAAACCGCTGTTGTTTCAGTTTGATTAAAAAAAAAACATGCTTCAATGGATTTTAGCATGGAATTAACATAGAATGTCTAATAATTTCTGAAATGGCCATAAGCAAACATCTACTTTTACTGAGCATTTATGTGAAGTGTCACGTTCAGCATCGGTGAGTATAAAGCCAACATATAAACCAAGGCTGAAAAACACTGAAGCTGCTTCAGACCCTACAGTAGCCAACATTTAACCTAAGTTTAATCTTTACGCATCTACACTTTAATTCTTTATGCGAATATAGTCAAGCACATTCATCTCACTAGTGTGCAAATTTGCTTTTGTCTTCATGGCAAAAGTATAGATATACCAGGGAACTGTTTTAAAATAAATTTGTGATTCACTGCCACGGGACATTTTATATTCATAGCTACATAATACAGCTATATCACAAGTGCACGAAGTTTAAGGAGCCTATTGCACACCACAGGGCTCAGCTGCGGTCTGACCAGGAGACTTCACCATCTGGAATGTAAGGTGCCTAGTGGTTGATGGGAAGGCAAGGATGGGGAGGGAAATCTAGGGAGCTGGCTGTGTAAGTGTATTCACAAAGGTTGGGAAGGCAGCATCGGAGGTTAAAGAGAAGCCCCTCCAGGGTAGAATGCCTGTTTTAGGAGTGTGCTTCCCAAAGTCAAGCGAATCATAAGTGTAAGGAGAATAAAACACCATGGAGTTGGGATGAAGAAGCCTTGTGAGGCAAGACTCAGTGAGGCAGGAGAAATGGACTCAGTGGTAGCTTCCATGTGAGCCCAGGGATGAGAAACATGAAGCTCAGCCGTGGAGATGGAGCTGGACCTCAGACGCTGTCACGACTGACTTAGGTGTGGTGTCTACAGAGGACAGAGGGGATGTGAAGTGAGATGATTGGCATCTAGGATTAAAAAGGCCAGTTTTGACAAGAGAACGGAGATTGGGGAGGGAAGCGGGGAGGAGAGAAACAGTAATCAGGCCTGAGTTCTGTTTTTGGCAGGTGTAACCTGTGAATGCATTGCCAGAGGAACAGTGTAGAGTCTAAGAGCCAAAACTTACGGAAATATCCTTTAAAGGCCCTCCCTACCCCAGTGAGGCATGGGATTTTGCTCCTGTTATTCTAGAAGACAACCAAATCACACACCCCCTTACCTGCTGCGTAGGCCATACCCGCCACTGGGTAGGGTTGAAAGGTTTGACATACGCGTGCTCTGTGGATTTTGGAGTTGGTAAACATGTTTAACCCTACAGACTGGAAAAACAACACATGTTAAAACATATTAGAAAACCCAGTCTTGAGACAGCGATCACTTTTCTTGGGTTCGTGCTGCGATTTAGTTACTGTTTGACACACCGTTCCTAGGATCAACGCAAAGACTCTACACCAGATGGAGAAAAGCCATAACACACAGTGGGGTCACAGAAGGCCAAGGTCATGGGGCTAGTGGGGTGTGAGGTGGGATTCAAGTCCATTTCTTCTGACCCCTACTTTTCATGCCTAAGGCCTCAGCATTAGTAATAGTATTTTTTTTTGTATTAGTAATAGTATTAGTACTAGTAATAGTATTTTTTTTGTCTTATGTTATTTTCCTTTTCCTCACAAAATACCTGCATAGATAGAACTTATGAATTTAATGCTGGGAGAATCTGTTTCTTTGTCTCTTCTCTTGAAACAGTGGGTTGCACTGACATAGGTTAATCTTTTCCCCCTGGGAATTTGTCTCTCTCTTTTCTTTCTCAGTCTATTATTAACTGAGATCTGCTCCAAAGTACCCACACCATGATCATCTGAACCCTCAAGTCACCACCTGTTCCTCAAGTTCACCTTCAGTGTTCGTCACAAATAAATACCCTTCAGTGTCTTATCTCTCACGGTGTGGGAAACCATGTGACGGGGCACAGCCACGAGTGGTAGTTGTGATGTGAAAGAAGAATTACTCAAAAGATTTAACTGCTGTGATCTTGGAAGGTGCAGACAGGAGACTTAAACGGCTCTCTGCTAAACTGCAGAGCCCCATGGGAAGAACTGTACATGTTTTCAAGGTAAAACAAAATATTTTAGTCGATTTTGGCAGGCTAAAATCACGATCTGGATACGCTTTGCTATCACAGCTCTGTTTAGCTCTAGTTAATCTTAAAAACATACATTGAAAACAGAGTGATACTTCTTAAGTGGAGTTTAGTAAAAGACCAACCATTGACAGACAGCCCTTGTGAAAGTAAAGAGGTTTGCAAAGCAAAGGAACCAGGGAATTGACTGTGAAGGGATGGCCTACAGAAGGAGAGAAAACCTTGGCCAGTACATCTGACAGAGGGCTACTCTGTATAGTATACACAGAACTCAGAAAATCCTAAACAAGAGGAAATCAGCCCAATAAGGAAACAGATTAATAAAATGAACAGATGGATGATTCTCAGAAGAATTATGAGTGTTCAACACACATACAAAACATGTTCAACTTGCTCAGCTGTTGAGGAATGTAAATCAAAACTATGTTGAGATTCCGTATTAGTCCAGTCAGAATGGCAAGTCATTAAGGAAAAAAAAAAAAGCAAATACTGACAAAAAATGGACAAAAGGAAAGTCTGACACACTGCTGGGCAGCAGTAGAAATGAGTCCAGCCAGTGTGGAGATATGATGTTTCTCAAAAAATTAAGAGGCGGTAGATATTCCATTTGACTGTACTACCCCTTTACCCAAAACACCGCAAGTCAGACTCATGGAGACACTTGCATTTCAGTTTCTATCGAACTATTGTTGGCAGTAGCCAACAGAGGCGCGGATAAGGAAAACATACGTGTGTATAATTACAATATATATTACATATATATGAATGTTTCAGCCATAAAGAATGATGAAGCCATGCCATTTTCAGGAAAATATATGCAAGTGGAGATATTCATATTAAGTGAGGCAAACCAGTCTCAGAAAGAAAAAAAAAAAAAAGAACTGCATTTTCAGTGATTCCACGATTTCTCTCCTAGACTTTATACAGATATATAAAGTCCTGCCTGTATATATTAATGAAAGTAGAAGCTAAACGGTCTAGGGGACAAAGATAGATCACGAGAATTGGTGAGAAAAGGGAGGGTGGGGCATTACCAGGGGAAAATGATCAACAATGTGTATACAGATAATTTACAAATTTCAAGAATTCATTGTGCAAAGGACTTACATTGTGGCTTCCAAGAAGGTGTATACATATATACATATATGTATATATGTATGTATGGAGAGAGGGGGGGGAGAAATTGTAAACCACTTGTATTTAAGGTTGCAGAGGGGTCCTGGTGGGCATGTGTGAGTACAAAGTAATGAACCCATGCCTCTGAGAGTCTCTTCTCTTAGTTGTTATTTTGTTAGAGAGAGAAGGTAAGGGTGAAGACTGTGGTTGCTTAGAAGCATCGGGTTTTTCATCCTAACACAGACCCAGCTTTGGTATGTTTCAGGAGGGATTACCGAAAACATTCTGCGTGCATTCTCATCGTTCATAAAATCCTGCTTCGGTGTGTACACAATCCCATTGTGAGTAATATCTTCTGCTTTGATGCATTCTCCGCTATCTTCGTGAAATGGGGTGCCAAAAGGAAAGAGCGGGGCAGTCTTTTGTGGCAGCAGATTATAGACCTGTCGGTTGGAGGAGAACAAAGGCAAACTGTTTCTTGCTCTGCTGCTTTAATGAGTTTCAAACGTGGTAGTGCTCACTATGGGATTGAAACCACCGTGCTTTTTCGTTCACCCTTGCCGTGTGAACGATACTCGGGATGAGGCAGGGAAGCGCAGAAATAGACTGGATATCGAAGTCTCTAACCCTCATGGAGAAATATAAACACTTAAAGAGATTAGAAGTCGGAGATGGGGGATACAAAGCAAATAAAGTGTTACCAATAAAAGTTAAAAAAAAAGAAGTTGGAGATGTGGCTCAATCGGTAGAGCGCTTGCCTAAGTGAACACGCATGAAATCTCGGAGAAGTCTACATAAGCTGGGTGAGCAAGTGCAGGCCTGTAAGCCCAGCACTTGAGAGGTTGAAGGCATGAGGATCAAGAACTCGAGGTCTTCCTTTAACTGTCTCGTGAAGTTCATGACAGCCTAGATCTCTATGAAGTGAATTCATCAGAACTGATCTGAACGTAGAAGAATGTGAAGATGAGGGCCTGGCGGTTTTCAGGTTACTGGTGCCAGGACCTAGAGGTAAGACGCCAAATCAGTTTGCTTTCATTTGTTCAGCGGATGCTGGGAAATCGCGTCACTCTGATCACTGGGAGGATCGTGTCCTTTGTGGTTATGGTTTACGTGGTTATGGTCTTAGCATGTCAGCATTTTGTGATGCCCAAGACAGCAACCAACCGGTACTCACGGAGTGAGGCGAGAGCTCGGCTTCAGGCTTCAGCAGCAGCACGCTTTGGTCTACCGCCCTGAGGGCGCAGAGGGACTGGGGTGCGGCTGTGACCTTCAGGTGGGTGTCAGAGGCTGGCAGGCTCTGCGCTGGTGAGAAACTCAAATTTACCTGCAAAGAGCATGATATCATTATAGCAGTATCTTAAAAAAAATACACTCACACACACACACACACACACACACACACACACACACACACACAGACATATATATATTACAGCTTTGACTCCTCCAGCCCGTGCTGAGGTATTTATTTTATTTTTAATTTATTTCCTTTCTCTTTCTCCATCTTTGAGCGGGCTTACTGTCCTAGGAACTCCCAGTTCACCATCCTCAGAATGACCAGGATATGTGGCATCGATTTACTTCATTTTCTTTTTGTAACTAGAACAAAGTAAGTTGCTTTTGATCCCACTGGAATAGGATCCTGTGTGGTACTGAAAACAGGCCGGAGAAGGAAGACACAGACCTATCTGTGTGAGGAGCTGGAGAGATGAAACAGTGAACCTTCGACAGTCATGGTCACATGACATCCTAAAGTAGGGGCAGAACTGATGACCATTAAATACCTGAAATGTATTTTAAGATCTAACTATGAGCTGGGCAGTGGTGGTGCACGCGTTTAATACCAGCACTTGGGAGGCAGAGGCAGGCAGATCTCTGTGAGTTCGAGGCCAGCCTGGTCGACAAACCTGTCTCTAAAAAACAAACGAGCAAAAAGATGTAAGTTTGTGAGCAAAAAGATGTAAGTTTGTTGGGAAGTTAAAAAGTTTACCAAGCATCTGAGTGCTGAGGTGTTTTGGAGTACAGAAAAACAGACCAATGTGAAGTCGTTAAGAGTTTTGATTGTGCTAATAGAAAGTTATGGAATGGTTGGTTGTTGGTTCCATTGTTGTATATAGTTCTTAACTTTCTTTTCTTCCTGAGTGTTTTGTCCTGTTCTGATGTTTTTGGTTTTGCTTTATTTTATTTTGTTGTTTTTCCTCAGAAATTTGTTTTTGTTTTGTTTTCTCTTTCTTTCTTTTTTTTGAAACAGGGTTTCTCTGTGTAGCCTTGGCTGCCCTAAAACTCATGCTGGAGACCAGGCTGGCTTCGAACTCACAGAGATTTGCTTGTCTCTGCCTCCTGAGTGCTGGGATCATGCATGCACCACCACCGCCTGGCACCTGTTTGTTTTCTAAATAGAGTATCAGAATGCTCAGCAAAATTACACTTGATCAGTGAATTTTCCTATCATAAGGAAGCAGTTTGAAATCATGCTGTTCTGAGATGCACACTTCCCTATCTCTAAATCAACCTGTTATCACCATGTATGGAGACTTTCAAGTATCTTTATTTTTAGAAAATTTACGTTCATTAAAATGAATTTGTGTCTATGTCAAATGAACGACTTAGTTGTTTGAGATTATGATCAACAGAAAATATTATTTGCCAAGAAATGGGCATGTTAGGAAAATGTAAAATTGCTCACCGATACAAGAACCAGACAAGAAATTTAATGTGCGTTTTGAAGAAAGTTGTATTATCTACACTAACCAATGTTATCCTTAATGAATAATTACATCTGGTTGAGAATAATAGTAATAATAGTAATAATAGTTGGTGTTAGGTTCAAAGGAAAAAAGTTATTTATGCTTTTATTATGATGGAATTATATGATACAAAATGCCCCAAAGCCTGATGCTCAACACCCAAGACCTTTTCACTTTGTTTCTTAGGAGAAAGGACTTTTCGTGGCTGCAGAGAGACCGCAGGGCTGGGATCGGAGGCATGCATCCACCATGCCTGACCTGACTTGTTTTCTACTTGCCTTTCAACTGTACGAAAACAAGCATTCGCAGGGCTGACTGCCAGAAAATCCATTTAAACTAATCCATATTTAATGTCTACGCGCTGTCTTAAGGGAAAGACATTTTAAATAGAAAACAGCATTTCTCTGTCCAGTAAAAGATTGAAAAAAAAAATACTGGTTTGAAGAGACATGTCCCTGTCTGACCCCACATCCTTCCTCACTCTGGCTCACTTTAGCTCACCATTTTACTAGGGGCCTAAATTAGTTCCTCTACCAGATCTGTTCTTCCTGTGTTTTTGTGGCAGTCACCATTCTCACGAGTGCTGCAAGCGTCTTCATTTATGCTCTTGTCAAGGCTTTGTTTGGCTTTTGATCATTGGCTTTCTATCAATGCTATGTGAAGGAGTGTTTGCTTTGAAGTGAATGTGACTTTCAATGGAGCAGGACTACTAGCGAGGATCTTTGTGCTGTTACACAGAGATTCCCAGAATCAGAGATTTTGTTGTTGTTGTTGTTCCAATCTGGCATTGATTCTGAATAGAAAAGTAATTTTTTTTCTGTCAGTTATATGCTGTCAGATAGCTTCAGGTCTGGAGTGTGTGAAGACTGACTCACCAGTGAGGGACTGCTGCGCAGGGTTAGAGTGGGGTGTGCCAAGCCCTTAACTGTCTCGAGATTTGCCGTACGGCTACACAGGACTCACATCGAAGACCCTGGAGGCTGATGCTGGAGACCCCCTTGACATGAAACTCCCGGAAGAACCAGCCTGATGCTCTTGGACACAACATCCAGTTTCAACAGTGTTCCTTAGAGGGGGGTAAGGATTTACACAGGAATCCACGCTGCCTTTTGCTTAGATCCCTGCACATTTATACTCTCCACATTTACTACATGTGTGTATGTAATGGGAACACAGGTGCCATGGCAGAAACGTCCACTTGCTGTAAATAGACAGTACCCTCCTAGGTGTAGTTTTTTTTGGGGGGGCGGTGGGGAGAGGCTGAAGCTGACAGAGCCCATCTGCCACAGTAGTAAAAAACCAGATATCCAGTGCCAATTCTGCTTGGATAAAACTTACAGCTTAGTGGAGCCCACACCACAGCTTTGTAGTCTTTAAAGAGACTACGTGCCCAGGCCTGATGTGACTTGGTGAGCTGGGGTGGATGGGAAAGGGAGCTCCCCTTTTCTGAGGAATAGGTCGGGGAGGGGGGAGTGGGGAGGGAGGCATGGTGGGACTAGGAGGGGAGGAAGGATGGGGCTACAACCAGGATGTAAAGTGAGTAAAAAATTAATTAAAAAAAGATCTCATTGACAAGTTAATTTGTACATTTTAATTCTTATTGGAGTGTCAAAACCCTGCACTTTCCTGAGGAGCTAAATTTAAACTCAAAGCAGCACACTCCGCTGCAGTGAATGGTGTGCTGGGGCGTTGGCGGCATAAAACGAACACAGCTTGGTGTGACAGCATTTTCGATGGAAAGTTTGGTGACAAAATATCTCAAAATAATTTAAATACAAACTCTGGAGAGATGGCTAAGCCCTTAGGAGCACTGCATGCTTTTTCAGAGGACCTGGGTTCTCTCCCCATCACCCACATGGCTGCTCACAGCTCCCGTGCCCTATTCTGGCCTTCCCATGTGACAAACACACACAAGGTGCACGGACTTCCATCCAGGCAAGACACCCATACACGTAAAATTAAATGACAATAAAATAGGATAAGAAATATTGTTTTAGTGTATGTGTTTGTTTGTGTGTGTGGGTTTGGTGCAGGAACCGTTTTGAAATCTACACACGGCTTTTAAATTAAAGAGTTCTGCCTGTGGACCACCTTTCTGGGCTGCCACGAGGCTGTTGAGGTGTGCCTCCTCTCACTGACTTGAGAGTATGTTTAAGAGCCCTGTGGGATGGCTTTTAAGTAGACATCAAGCCAGGCATGGTGTATGACTTTAATCCTAACACTTTGAAAGCAGAGACAGGAGACTCTCTCTGAGTTTAAGGCCAACCTGGGCTACATAGTAAGTTCCTGGACAACCATGGCTACATAGAGAGGCCCTGTCTCAAAAAAAATTTTTTTTAAAACAGATATTACTTCTTTATTGCCCACACGTATAAAGGAGAGAATAAAAGGATCAGCCTTAGACACAAACACCTACCTTATTGGCAAAACAGTTTTCAATTTTGAGTGTCTCCGTGTCAGCGACAATTTCTTCATTAGGTAAAGTAGCGTAAACGAGCAGCTGAGCCTCAGGAGCCATGTCTGGCTCCACTTGAAGTGGGAAGGAAAATACCCCTTTCACTGGAGAATAAAGGAGATTCAGGATTATGGATTAGGAACTGATTCTCAACTTCACATCAGGGCAATTCTTAGAATATTTAAGAATTCGTATTTGTATCGTGTAAGAAAGACTTGCACCTTTGCCACCTTTGCGTGCAGAGGTGCTTGAACAAATGGTGTCTTTATAGATACTGTTTTAATTTTGTCCACCAGCTGAGAAGGAAAAGTCATTTAGGCACGTCTCGATTTCTAAAGGTTTTTTATAATTTATTTTACGCGTATGAGTGTATCTGTGCAGCATATCTGTGCAGTGCCCACAAAGGCCAGCAGAGGGCACCAGATCCCTTGAGACTGGGGTGACAGGCATCTTGGTTTCTTTAAGAACATGGAAGTATTATGAGACTGTGTTTTCATTTTAAACCCAGGTGTGGGATATGGGGCTGCTTCAGAGTGTCCAAAGCAGCTGGCTCTGATTTGCCTTATTCTCTAGCAGCAGTGTGATTTTGCCAGCTGCAAATAGTTTTTGCGAGTGTGTGACACTTGGAATTCCGAGGGTGTATGAACGCTAGAGCCCTGAGAGGCCTGGGTGGGCTGTGGGTTGGTTGCTGTTGGTCGCAGTTTGTTAAGTAGTCATGCGCCAAGAAGAAACAACAAAAGGAAGAAATTAGACATCCTGACAGTGAAGATCAAACTTGCTCCAAGGATCTAGACGCCCGTAATGAGCAGGAAGTAGTCTAATGATGTCTCCCTTTCTTCTCTATCCTTTTATTTTTTTTTTTCTTTCCCAGTCTAGTGCTAGGGGTTTGAAAGAGTGGAAAAAGAGGGTTAGAGAAGGGGAGATGAAAAAAGAACTCGCAAAGTAGCAAACGTCCAGCTACAATTCTGAGCCGCAGGTGCTGAGAAGTGAACTGAGAAGTGGACGCGGGTCCTCCGGAAAAGCAGCCAGTGCTCTTCACCACCGAGCCATCTCTCCAGCCCTCTTATGCTTATTTAAAAAACACTGATAAACCAACTATAGTGAGGCTGCAGAGACGGAGGAGATGCTCTTGACCTGAGGACCCCATGGTGAGCCTGCCTTTAGAGTAGGGAATACTGTGTCTTTATTAGACCGATAGACTCATGATGCTAAAAGTCCTTTAGGAAGTATGTAGAGTGAGAGTTGTGGTCTAGTAGACCTTTAGAGAAGACAACATAGTATAAACAGATAGGAAAAACACAGAGACTACAAGTAATGCCAGGTGTTTGGCGATCTAAGATGGTGGGCTAGAGGCAGCCAGCAGCCAGCAGCCACTACTCCTGCATAGGAAAACTCAAATAAAACCAGAGAGCAGTTACTTTCAGGGGTGGGAGGAAGCATGTTAAGTTCAGAAGGAGAACCATAACCTACTCAGTGGGGAACGTCTTCAGTAGCTATTCACCTAACAGAACGTTAAGATCCAGGATATATATATATAATGAAAAAATTAAAAGAACAAGCAATATAGTCACAAAATGGGCGAGTGACATGTGTAATGCTGAGGAGAAGCTCATGGTTGAACACAAGCAAGCTTCAGTTTCTGCAGCCATCCGGGAAATGCAAGTCGTTTTTACATTGAGATTCCACTTCATTCCAGTCAGAATGGCAGAAAAAGAAAACACAAGTTACGCAAGTGCTAGCAAAGACTTGTAGGAGAATGAGCCTTTAGGTGCAGTTGGTGAGAATGTAAATTACTGCAGTCACTGTGGTAAGCAACATGGAAGACGCTCAACAAACTAAAAATAGAATAATCCTATGAACCAGCTAGGTCACTTTTGAGTGTTTATCAAAAGGACATGAAATAAGGCACCTAAATATCCACACTTTCTGTAGCTCTGTTCACTACCAACAAATAAATGGAGTCAACTTAAGCATTCATCAACAGATGAGTGGGCAAGAGAATGTGGTACAGATAGACCGTGGAATATTACTCAGACGTAAAGAAAAATGAAATTATGTCATTTTCAGGAAAATGGATGGAACTGGAAGACATTATGTTAAACGAAACAAGCCAGAAAACAAGATTAGTGTTGTGTGGCTTGTCTTATATGGGGAAAAGAACAACCTGAAACTACAGGAAGAGTGCAGGAAAGGGAAGGGGAAGGGAAGAGAAGGATGAACAAGATAATGGAGGCCAAAGTGTGATTCATACTTATGTGGCGATGTCACTGTGAAATAATTTCTGTGACTAATAAGTATTGACAGTTATAATAATAAAGAATTAAAAAACAAAACAAAACAAACAGCAGCCAGTGAGGGCCACGGGGAAGGGGGATTCCTCTAGCTCATCTGCATCCTGAATTTACGTGGAAAGCAAATGTAAAGAATGGATTGAGATGTTTAAAGAGAAGCACTGGCTTTTCCTGCTAGGTGCAATAAGATTTGGTGGGAGTAAAAGCAGAGACTTGTTTACCGTGAAGTCAGCAGGATTCAATGAGGAAAATGGTGTTAGAAAACCTCACATTATCCAGCTTCTAAGGCACAGGGAGCGCTTTCTAGAAACTCCGCTCTAGAGAGAAACCATGTGTCCCTTTTGCTGACATCATAGAAAAGTGCAAATGCCACTATGCTCAGCCACAAAGAGTCCTCTTCAAAATCCCTCTGAAGAGGTTACACGTATGACTCACAGATCTCATCTCCATCTCAGGAAAAGCCAAAAGGAGAGGTGGAATTATCAAGGAAAACAAAAATCCACAGAGAAACTTTTGTCTGGTTGGATATATATATCTTTGCAGAGCATAGGGGGGTGACCTGATCCCTGAGGAATTTATTCTAAAAGAGACATTGTCATCATGGACTAAAAGAGCCAGAGATGGGAAAAGGAGAGCATTTGATCTTTCTAGGTATAGGACCCCAAACCAGTTGCTTGCACATGCTACGCTTAGCAGGAAAGGGAGGGTGGCTGCAAGGGCAGTTAGGAGGACTGAGACAGCGGCCAAAGAGGACCGTTCTGTGTTGGAATTCAGGGCTGTTTGCCTGGTAGTATTTCGTATCTCTCCAGACGGATCATTTTCACCCTGGCAGGGATTGTAGCCAAGGCCTTGCGGCCTAATTTAGATGATTTGGAATGATGCAATTTGGGACTGTTGTGCCGTGTATGATCTATGAGATTTGGAGGCCTGCGTAAAAGCTGCCGATGGACTGAGGTGTTGGTTGTTGGAGACCTCGACTAACGTTGCGTGGGCGCGTGGATCTTGGAATGCTTGCGGTAGACAGAATTCTAATCCCGGATACCTAGACCTGAAAATCTTTGAGCCCACACCGATGTTAAAGCAGGATCTTGAGATGTGAGAATTGGTTGGAATTATCCAGGTGGAGGCAATGTCACTGTAAGGACGGTGACAAAAGGGAGGCAGCAGTGCTGCTGGCTTTGACGGTTATGGAAGGGACCACTAAGCAAGGCACGGATCTAAGGCAGTCCCGCCAATACCTTGATTTGAGTCCAGTGAGAGTTCTGAACAGAAGAAATATAAGAAAAGAAACCCATGTCGTTATATGCCGGGAAATCTGCGGTAACCCGTTATGGCAGCAATAGGGATCTGACACACAAATACATGAAGAAAAAAATTTTCTTCTGTCATTTTTCTTTCACCTTTGGTTCCTTTTTTTTCTTTTTGAAAATAGTTATGAAGCTAAGCTATTTTACATCAGGAATAACAACCTAAAACCCGGAAGCGTTCTGAACAGCTTCGTCACTGGATGACAGAGGGCTGACATGCACTTCCTGTCATGTGAAAGAGGCTCCGGCTTGCCCAGTTGTTGCGGGTTTGGCAAGATGAGAGGACATTAAAGAAAAAAAAAAAAAAGAAAAAAGAAAGCAAAAGATGCTTACTGTTTCCTTGTTCAAGCGGCAGCACGTGGCTTCCTGAGCTGAAGATGCTTCCCCTTGCTTTGACCTGAAGACAGAAGGAAACACACTCATCACAGCTGTAAGGTCTGTCTGCCTGTCTTTGGCACATTCACGAAATATCAATAACCATCATATTACTGCAATGTGGAAGTTATTTTTATTAGTATACTTTCTTTCCACCATTTTCCCATGCATGTTCTAAATGACGAGTACGTAATTTTATGCTTTATTTTGTTTAATATTTATTGTTCCTAGGAATATGTGAAAAGCATATACAGGGCACCTACTGTATATGGCATACACAGTGGAGGCAAATATACAGTGGAAATATCCTCTGTTGTTCGTCTTGTTTTAAACTAAACAAAATGCATTGCTCATTCTCTGTGTCTGAGTCTGAGATAAGGCAATTTGAACAATCCAATTTGCATAGTATTTATGTGGACTATTGTTTCCAGAATTCAGGTGAGATAGCTGATACTTGTTTTTGAGGATGAAGTTTAGTAAATTATCCAAGGTCTCAGGACTATGAAGAGACGAAATGGAAATTATAACTACTGTAAATCTGTTACTTTTTCATAGAAATAAAGAAATGTTAGAGGTAATATTTCAGTAGTGAACAGGATAAATGAGGAATTAAAGCATGAATAATGTTATACGAAGCAGTTTATCTTCCAATAAAAAGAAAATCTCCAGCTGGGTGCGGTGGCGCATGCCTGTAATCCCAGCGCTTGGGAAGGTGGATTCAGGCAGATCTCTCTGTGTTCGAGGCCAACCTGGTCTACAAAGCATGTGCAGGACAGCCAAGGCTGCACAGAGGAACCACAGCTCTAAAAACCAAAACCCAAACCCTCCAAACTCCAATGTTAACACTGATGGTCTACAAAACCTTTTATTTTGAGAGGAGCCTTGAATGGCTACATCACCGAGAAATTTGGGGTATATACGATTAGAGATTCAGTGACATTTATTCTTACCAGATAGTAAAAGGTTAAGTCTTTTTCATTCTTCATGATATCTTTATTCAAGAGGTAGTGTGCCCGAATCTCCTGAGTTTGTCCACAGGCCAAAGTACCAAAAATAAGCTCAAGATGAACATAACTATTGCTTGGGGAAGCGATATGAGTTACAGACTGCTCTGCTTGTACATGATGCTCACTGAGCCACCAGTTGTCATAACAGTCGTTGTTCTGCTTGTAGGTGACCTAATGGGAAAACGAATAGCACACTTGTATTTAGTATCTATCTATCTATCTATCTATCTATCTATCTATCTATCTATCTATCTATCTATCTATTATCCATTTATCCATCCATCTATCCATCCATCTATATCTATCATTTACCTATATGATACCTTTCTGTAAAAAGGTTGTTTTATTAACCCTACAGCCACGTTTTCACCTTTGTATTAAGATTATTTAAGCGTTTGTATCTCAGGCTGGCTTTTAAACTCACAGTCTCCTTGCTTCTGCCTCCTGAGTGCTGGGATTAAGAAATGCTCATTATGCTCACAAAGCTCTCATGTACACTTTTTTCTGTACAGATTTATTTCCTCATTTGCACTTAAAAGCACTCATTTTGCTTTACTTATTTATTCTTTTACCATTTCATACATATATTCTTTGATCAACTCCCCCATCTGATTATTCTTTCTTATCCCATTATGCATCAAGTCTCTTAATCTCTCTCCTATTGTGTGTGTGTGTGACCCATTACATTTAAGTATGCTTGTCTCACAAGTATGGGCTGGGGAGTTTCTGATTAAGTGGGGGCAATGTACCAATGGCTACATCACTGAGAAATATGATTTTCCTCCCCCTGCTCTTTCAAGGTTTCTCAACCCACGGGTCGTAACCCCTTTGGAGGCTGAACAACTCTTTTACAGGGGTCCCATGTCAGATATCTTGGCATATAAGATATTTATATTATGATTCATAAAGTAGAAAAATTACAGTTATGACATAGCTATGAAAATAATTTTATGGTTGGGGGTCACCACCACATGAGGAACTGTATTAGAAGGTGACAGCATCAGCAAGGTTGAGAACCACTGACCTAGCTCCTCTGGCAGGGGTGGGGCCTTATAAGCCCCTCCCCCATCCATCATGCTAGGTCCGGCCTTGTACAGGTCTTGTGTAGATAGCAATTGCTGTTTCCTCTTACGGCTTTATCACAAAGATTATTTGACTGTTCAAGCATAGATAAAAATTGTATTTTCCTAAAGGAATCAGGCACAATTTAACTGGTAATAGAACTATGAACATGTTAAAAACTTCCAGGATAATTAAAATACCAGGATAATCTTTCCAGTGTTCCTGAAGCCGGGGCATTCTGTAAGGATTCCTGACACAGAACTTCCCAGCCTTCATTATTTGTCCCCACGTTGCTCAGTTTGTCCGATTTCTTATCACGTTTTCTTTTGTTCCTGGAGCTCGTGTGCCTTTCACACATCCTTAAGCACGTGCGGCCCCACAATCCAAGCCTTTTTAGCCTCACATGCCCATTTCTACTTACTATGACTCTCAGCATTAAAAACGTGTAGGTGGAAGTGTCAAGGACAATGTTGGCCAAGCCGTGCTCGTCAGTAGTGAAAGTGGACTGGTTCCCGTACGGATCCACGCGCACAGATATGTTTTTGTTGGGGATTGGTTGATTCTGCTCATCAACAAGAAGAACCTAGAAACAGGGACGTGACAACTGGTTACAAATGCCAACTACTCACACCGTCCTCCCAGACTGCTCTGTTTACGCCTTTGTCTCTTGCTCGGTTCCTGTCCTTTGCTGAAGATCCTCACATCTGCAAAGGAGACTTGTTTTCCGAGCTTTAAACTTTTAAATATTTCTCCTGATTTTGAAACCTGATGGGTTATTTTTATTTTATTGTTTTTAAGTGATTTGATTTTATGGGTATGGGTGCTTGGTCTGTATGTATGTTTGTGCACCCTGTGTGTGCTTGGTGCCTGGTGGGAGTTCAGAACAGGGCATCAGATCCCCCTGGAATTGGAGTTTCAGGTGACTGTGAGCTGTCATGTGGATGCTGGGAATTGAACCTGGGTCCTCTCAAAGTGCAGCTCTTAGCCACGGAGACATCTCTCTAGCCCCTTATTTTCTTATTTTTAATTAAGAAACAATAACACTGTATAATTTTTAGAATACAATGTTACGTCTTGATAACTGCATATAAGGTAGAATTATTGTATTTAGTTAATGACTCTAGCCCTCACAGCTTGTGCTTTTTTTTTTTTTTTAATGCAATAGGGTCTTTGCTGCTTAGTTTTATGTCAATATGACATAAGCTAGAATACTTTTAGTAGAGGGAACATGAACTAAGAAAAATTGACCCCAGTAAATTGGCCTCAGGGCAAACCTGCGGTGTAGTTTCTTGATCGATGACATGGGAAGGCCTAGTCCTGGGCAGGTGGTCCTGGCTTGCATGAAAAAGAAGCTGAGTAAACCACGAGGAGCAAAGCAGTTAGCAGCATTCCTCTGTGGCCTCTGCTTCAGTTCCAGCCTGCATGCCTTCAGGGATCTACCACCTCTCTTTCTGTCTTCACTTTCTAGTGAACTCACATATTTCAATTGTCACATGATCTTTTCTCTAGACCTATGGTAACCTGCCAAATCACAACATTCCCTTCCAACTTGATATGAAATGCTAAAATGAATGAAGAAAGTGTAAAAGTTAAATTCAGATACAAAATTCAAAATATAAATGAAGAAATGGCCCATGAATTTACTCAAAAGATTATTTACTATAAAAGCAAACTTGAAAAATGCCTAAAATCTTATCTATACTATATAAACATAAATGAGAAGTTTATTCAATTGTATTATTGTTCCTAAAATTTACTAACACTACAAACATTGCTTTAGCACTGAAAACAAAACTTTTTAAAATTTTCAGTAATTAAAAATGTCATCATCTGGATGACAGATTATCGATATCTCTTGGATGTTAAATGTCTCCCAAAGGCTTAGATCCTAAAGTGGTGCTATTGGTAGGAGAATCTGGGTTTGAGGTCCTTAAGTCATTGGGGGTGTGTTGTCAAAGGAGACTGAAATTTTGGCTCTCTCTCTCTCTCTCTCTCTTTGTCATGAGAGGTAGGATTTGTCTTGCTCTGTGCTTCCACTGTAATGTGTGGTGTTGCCACACACACACAACTCATAATGACTTGAGACTTCCAAGACTCCAGGCCAAAATAAACCTTTCCCTTTTATAAGTTAATGGTATCAAGTATCCTGTTATGGTAATGGAAAGCTGACTATCACAATTACTTTTTAAAAATTATTTCTATGAAAAATTGCTTTAGAAAGGCTTTATTTACAAAGATGGAATCAAGAAGAATATAGCCAAACTACACAGAAAAAAAATGTATTATAGAGGCATGTAAGGAGACTGATGATTAAAAATTGCTTTGTTTTCCAACATTTCACTACCCCTGGTAAATGTATAATTTGCTGTCATTTCTTTTTTTCTTTTTTTTTTTTAATAATTCTAATATATTTTGATTTTGCAGCTAAATCTCAAAAACCTTATGCCTGGAGTTGGGAAGATGGTTCAGTGGGTGAAATGCTTCCTGTACATACATGAGGGTTCAGATTCCCAGCACTACATAAATGCTGGGTGGGTGTGACAGGCTGCCTATGATTCCAGAGCTAGGAGTGTTGAGGCAGGGACCATCTGGAGCAAAGTAGCTAGTTAGACCAGCCAGAACTGTCAAGCTCTGAGAGATCCCACCCCAATGAACAAGGTAGAAAATGTCTGAGGAGGCCTTTTGACATCAACTTCGAGTTTTTCTCCATACACCAGATGCTCATTTACTGTTCAATATTTTTCCCTTTGTCATTTGGAAATGACACGCCACTGGATCCTCACTATCCCAGGAACACCTGACATACATGTGTGCTTATGCTCATGTAAAGATGTATACATGTGTACATGGAACACACACAAGAATATTTCATATCTCTAAGTATGACTATAGGGGAAATATTTTACCTGCCCCCATAAAGGAAGCCCCGTCATGTAATGTGAATTCACTTTAGTAAATGTCAGTTTGCTTAAGGTATTCGTGATTTCACACGATCCATAGCCAGTTAGCTCCATTCCTGAAAAAGAAAAACGTGAAGTTGGGTTTGTGTATTTGAACCTCCTACTTTCACCTCGGCTCACCTCCATGATTTCAAGATGCTACAATAATCTGTGAGTAATTTTACGAGGTATCATATCCAATACAGTTTTTATTTATCCTGTGTCTTCCGTTAGCCTTATTTTAAAATGGTTTATCTAAGCCATTATCACATATATCTGAAGCTAGCCACGCTTTTTCAGAATCACGCCTTAGCTCATTGTCTGACTCAATTTTCTCCAGTCTGGGAATGAGTGTGCTTGTGTGCTTTCCCCTGCACACCACTGATCTTCCAAAATGTCACTCCCCAAAGCACATCAAAGTCAAGTGTAAGCATCTCTCTCTGTCTCTGCCTCAGAATTATTCCCCGTCATGTCCACTCTTCCCTTAAATTCCACGTTCCTTATGGAAATTTTTATCACAGTTGCACACACACACACACACACACACACACACACACAAATGCACACACACCTTCTGTTTTAAACATTTAATTTCTTGAGGTTAGTGATCTGTCCTTTTCATAATGTGGAGAAACCATAAAGTATTAAAAATGAAATGGAAATTTGATAAGTTTCTACTTAACTGACAATTATTGAAAAAACAAAACAAAACAAAACAAAACAAAACAAAACAAAACAAAACAAAACAATACAGACCTGTTCCCTCCTCTTTGATTTTGGCTTCCACTTCTAATTTCATGTCATAGCCTTTTTGTCTTGGCTGGAATATTTTGGTTTTTACGACTTGTCTGAAACATCCTTTATCATCTGCCTGAAGAGAAGGGGCAAGAGTGCCTGAGTTCTCTGATTTGCCACCAAAGATGCTGGTTATATGTTTAGAAACACATTTTAAGCGTTCAGGTACTTTTTTTTCCTTTCCCAACCCCAAACATGACACAGTTCTTTGTTAATTTTTGGGTTATTTATAGCCAGCCTTTGTCTCCCCTCTCTTCCAAAAATGGATCCTATTTCTACTAGGTCCTGTTCTCTCCTAGAGTCTCCGAGTGTGCCATCATACTCTGCAATTATAGCTCCTTGCCTGTGTTGCTCTTAGGTGAAGACTATTTCTCTCCATTCTTCCTTGATGCTCGTAAGTACCGAGCCATCTCTCCTGGGCCACCTTGTTAAGTAGCCAAGGATGACCTTGATCTCTTGTTCTTGCCTTTGCTTCTCAGTTACCAGGTCCTCTAGTTGCTGTCTCCCAGGTCTTCTGGGCCAGATGCTCATTTACTGTTCAATATTTTTCCCTTTGTCATTTGGAAATGACACGCCACTGGATCCTCACTACCCCAGGAACACCTGACCTATTCTTCTGTGACAAAAGCCAGCTTTGAATACTTTTCTTTTTTTTTTTTTACTCTTATAACTTGAGATGTTGATTGCTGTCGGCAAGAAAATGACAAGATTGGCCAAATGCACGCATTTGTAGATTTATAAGCTCTGTCTTCATTTGGGCTCCTAACACTACCAGACATTTTCATATTTTTTCCTCCTGCTACCAAGATTTGCTTGATGACTTGTCAAAAGCATCTCTGATTGTGCTGCGCTTAGCACTGTAGCTCACGAGAAAGTAAGAACGAGGGAGTGGTTTCAACATACCTGTTTACTGAATTCTTCACAGATTGCTCGTGAAAGTTGGCCGTGACAGTGGGAGCTCTGCAGTGAGTATTTTCTGCACACATTAATTGTCACCCGACCTGGAACAGGCTTTCCATATGTGTATCTAGAACCATGAAATGATCATTCTGAATGCCATTGAAATGTGAGTGACATAGATATCTCTTTACCTGCCTGGACCCACTCACTGTTCCATTGTATTCATTTATCCCCCTGGAGTTTGCACACCAGAAAAGCTCATGATAGCAGATTGGATCCTGTCTAAATGAGAATGTACCTATAATTCTAAGACAAAGTAGTCAGTGAACCTTTTGAAAGATACTGACTTAGTATTTTTCCAAGGTTCTTTCCTTTCCTCTTTCCTTCCTTTCTGCCTTCTTTCATTTCATTTCATTTTCCTTTTTTTAAATTTTGGGATAAGGTCTCATTATCTAGCTCTGGTTGGCTTGGAACTTGCTGTATATACCAGGCTGGGTTAAACTCAGAGATTTGCCTGCCTGTTTCCTGATTGCTGGGATTAACGGTCACCACATTTAGCTCTTTCTCTCCTTTCAGTTGAGGTTTTGCTGTAAGACTGCCCGGTGCAACGGGAGGATGGCTATTAAGAGCACTTGCTGCTCTTCAAGAGGACCCAGGCTTGATTCCCAGCACCCATCTGATGGTTCAGAACCATCTGCAACACCAGTTCCAAGGAATCTGATGCCTTTTTCTGGCCTCTTGCAGGTACCAGGCATGCATATTGTACACAGACATACCTGTGGGCAAAATGCCCATATACATAAAGAATGCTTCTCGTTTTTCCAGAGGACTTGAGGTTTGTCCCTAGCACCCACGTGGGGTGGCTCACAACTGCCTGCACCTCCAGCTTTAGTGGCTATGATACCTCTGGGCTTCTTGGGTACTTGCCCATTTATGTGGCACATATCCACATAATTAATTAAAAAAAAAAACGCTATCTCTGCTGTCAGATTTACCAACATTATTTTAGGTAAAAAGAGAGAGAGAAAAAAAAATATATAAAGACTGCATTTCTGAGAATTTAAAAGTAGTAAGTGAGAAATTATTGGGGAAAGCTGTGGCTACAAAATAAAAACAATTTGTAAATAACATCAGGATGATTCAGTTTGTTTCTGGCGAATATGGTGGGAGTGTGCCATGCAAGGCTGGGATTAGTTTCCTGGCTTAGAGTGCCCTGTGACCCATGTTGTGGGGGAGATTGTAATTAGACTTTCTGTAGGTGGGGCCAGGGATTCTAATTTTAATCAAGCTCCTCCCACAGAGCTGATATAGGAAACTACTCAGAAATCTCCCCTTATGCCAGCTGTGAGGTTCTCAAGGTCTAGCCTCATGGCCATAGGTTTCTTTCTGTACTCCCCTTCCAATGCTTGTCTGTACTGATAAGCAATGCATTACTAAATGTTACTTAAAACCCATCCTCTCAAATAGAATATGGACATCAAAATAAGATGAAAGAGAAATGTAACTCACAAGCCACAGGCAGTTACAACAAATTCTTCTTCCAGGAAAGCAATAATGTTGGGCGTTTTCACTTGTACTTCAAATCTGGGTAAAACTGGTTTGAATAGAGGAGAAAGGGGGTGAAGGTTGGTAGGAGACCTGGTAAGTATTACCAATGGAATCTGTTAGAAGAATCTATGACATAGAATCACATGGAAGGAGCATGAGTGTCAGTACTGGGAAAGACATGTCATCATTCATGATTCTACTTTTCCCAGACTCCTCTGATTTGTGCAAGATTTCAAAGGCGGGTGAAACATCACTGACTCTGAAGACCACCACAGTTAGATGTAGGAACAGAAGGGCTGTGGGTTCTCCCGCTCTCTCTCTCTCTCTCTCTCTCTCTCTCTCTCTCTCTTTCTGTCATTTCTACCTCGTGCCAGCTCTTCTGACTGACCATCATCCATGTTTAGCCCCATTATCAGGCACCTCGTGGTAGATCTACTGAACCGAGAATTATCCGGGGTGACTGCTTTCTGCAGACTCTGCCTCTTCCAATGGTTTTCTCGAATTTTCCACTCTGGAAGCTGAAGGTACCTTGTCCCGATTCCCCTATGCTCCTGACTAATCCATGCCGGCTTCAGAACTTGCTAGACAATGTTCTACAATTTGCCACTTCCTCTTGCTGGACCCTTTCTTCTCCGGCGTCTCCCACAGGTGTGAAAGGTATGACCTTGTTATGTGATTGTCACGGAAGCCCTGGGGAGCTTTGGGAATCGTGTTTTTTGGTTGGTTTCTTGCTATCGAGTTCGGCCATCTACATATGCACGCACGGAATGAGTACCTATCACCTCCCAACACACACACACACACACACACACACACATGTGTACACCACACACACACACACACACACACACACA